ACTCCTGCTGCTGCTCCTGCTGGTATTTTCTATTGAATCGTAAAAAACACAGGAAATCATTTCGTCATTCCATAAATTGTTATGTCGTAAATCTCTGCAATCAAATGGACTACACGCACACACACACACATACACACGTAGCTGCTTTGTCTCTGCGTGGGTGTATGTGTGGGTGGTTTCGTCCTTGAGCCTGTCTCGTATTTCTTTTCTTGTCTGTGACCAAAATTTGCCCCACCCCCCAGTCATAGTCGCAGCCACAGCATCAGCATCAGCCTCCGCCTCAGGGCCTCAGGGGTTCATTGTGTGAATTTCGTGTGTGCAGTGATTTAGCCAACTAACCAGAAAGCATGGGGGGCACAGAGGGTCAGGAGAGACCACAGCGGAGACCTTAACCCTTAAGCGAAATTAGTTATCGAATTGAAGCAGAAATATGTGTGTGGAAATAGTGGCGCGCTTTTGGTTTTCACTTAAAAAAGTGGGTGAGAAAATTCAAGTAATTTGAGCGATTTGATGCTGCTAAGAAAATTCATTAAATGCTACACTTACCCAAAACAAAAACAAGGTACCAAATATATGTGCCATTAATTGTGACATCTTGTTGTTGCAAATCTCTTCGGGGAATATGGCTCCATAAAATATACGAATAAAATCAATGATGAAACTTTCATCAGTCAAAAAATATTCCAAGATTTTAGACATTTTTAATGCATTTATCTGAAATGTAAGCAGAGCAAAACAATATCTAATATAATATTTTCAATGGAAGTACTAATAAATAAATAATAAATAAATAAACAATAAATAATAATAATTAAATAAATAAATAAATAATAAATAACTAATAAAACAATTAAATAATAATAACAAATATATAATATTATATTTTCAACGGAAGTACTAATAAATAAATAAAAATGCAATCAAATAAAAAAAAAATTAAATTAAGTTAAGTTCCTAAAAAATTTTTCAACATTTTTCGTATAGCAGTCAAAAAAAATATTCCAAAATTTTAGCCAAAATTACAGTTGTACGGGCCCAAGCAGCATATGCCTGAAATTTATTGATGAATATTTTTGCATTACATTTTCTCAGCAATTAATTAGAATATTTGAATTTCGGCTGCTATATATTGTGCCATATTTTCTATGCCCAATTTCTTATGTGCATAATTCTTATAATTATTTTCTATATTTTTCTTAAGAAATTTCCATATATTTTCCATGCCCATTCTCAAGGTACTTCGCATTCGAATTCCTGCCATTTGTAATATATTGCCATTTGCTTCGAAATTCTTTTGAATATTTAATTCATTTCCATTGCTAAACCATTGCTAAAAATTGGCAGTGCCTCTCTCTACCCCCCTGCACCTCCTGCACCCCCTGCACATCATCCTTCATCGTTCGTTCACCTTCTGGGAATGACCGCAATCAACCCAAATGATCAGTGAAACGTTGAAGGAGGGACACAGAGAGAGAGGAGACAGAGAGCAGAGCTCTGTGAGCTCTGCTGACCGCATGAGGGTTAACAAACAAATCAAAAGCCTGGCCAAAAGAAATCCCACACACACACACACACACACACAAACACACACAGAGAGAGTCAGAGACACACATGGTGGCATGTGGCATAGTTGTAGACATACTTATATCCATAGTACAGGTGTCAGGACACGCCTCGTTTGCTATGTGGCGCACGTGCAACTTAACCTCAAAAGAGGAGACACACAGACACGGACACAGCGAAGAATGAAAGCAGAGAAAGCAGAGAAAGAGCTAAAGAAGCAGAACGAGTAGAAATGTGGGGCATAGGCACAGCCCACAGCCCACCCCACAGCCCACCCAAAATGCCACCCAGTCAGCCAGGATGTTGCAAGCCAAGTAAACAGCAGCCAAAAGCAGCCAAAACCAGCAGCCAAGAGCAGCGGCGGCAACCAAAAAAACGGATGTGTAGTTCATAAATTTCGTCAAATGCCAACAGCAAAAATTGACTTGTCGACTGTCGTCCTGCTTCAGCTGCTTCTCCAGCTGCTGCTCCTTCTACTGCTCCTCCTGCTGCTGCTCCTCCTGCTTCTCCTCCTGCTGCTGCTCCTTCTGCAGCCCCTTCTTCCGCTGCTGGCTACAGTTTCCTTTCCTTTTTTTTTTTCGTGAGTTGTTTTCTTGACCAAATAAAAATCAATGCTTGAAGCCCGAGCCCGAGCAAGACATCTTGTGGCTAAAATCATAAATATCTAGCAGCAGCCGAAGGTCTTTCGATTGGCAGGTGAATTTGTCATGTATGTCCTCACACTCCTCTCTATGCCCGCACCCCCCTGGCAGCCTTCCTGCACGCTTTGGTCCCTTTTTTTGCCCGCCTCTCTTTGAGCCAGCCATCATCCACTTTCCTGGCCATTAGTCAAAAGTCTGACGAGCAGGTCACACTCACGGGGGCAGAAGGGACACTTACAGGGGCAGAAGGGACACTCACAGGGGCTGCAGGAGGGCAGGAAGGACTGCTATATCCTGCCAATGGGCCATTAGTTGTTGCGCAATTTATAGACGGGGCCATCCCGGCCTGGCCCCCGTTCTATTTTCAATATAAACGGAACTATTAAAGCAGTTAAATGATAAATTATGCGCTCCCCGCTCACAGACAATAAGCAGTGCAGGAGGGGCAGGGGAGTGTGGGGGGTGGGTGGCTGGCTGGGTCTGGGACTGCTGGACAAGCAAAGTCAATGCCGTGAAAGCTTTTTATGATGACGCACTTCCGACACGTCTCAATCCGAATGTGCGAAGAAATAGCCGCAAACTCATCTGTTTGTCTGAGCCCCCCCCACACACCCCTTCACTCCTTTGGTCAGCCTTTGGCTCGCTCGTTCACTGCGGGCGTGCGGCGGCGGCGACGGCGCTTCAATTGCGACTTTTATGGCACATCAATCGTAGTCATCCTTCGTCCCGCCACCGCTCCACCGCCAGCGAGAAGCCGTTAACTTTTATTGATTTCAATGGCCCGGGATTTGCTCAGTGATTGTCCAGTCCAGTCCAGTCCAGGCGGTCAGTGTCCAATGGCCAGTGTCCAGGCGGCAGCTCATGAAAGTGCCTTCAACGCCTTTTGACTTAACCGCCAGTCGCTTTGTCTTTCCTTTCCCTTTTTTTTTTCTTTCTGTTTTTGGTGCCTGCAACTATCAAACGGGGAGGGGGCCACTCCACTCCAGCCCCGTCCCCCTTGAAGGTCATTAAGTCAAGCTGTGGACATAAATAAGCCGCAGGACATTGAAAAACTTTACTGTGTGCCATTTTGGCTGTTTGGCTGGTGTTCCTGCTGCTCCTTGAGGTGTTTAAGCCTGGCTTGAATTGCCAATTGGCATCTATTAAAGTGCTGCTGGGCAGCGGCAGGGGATTTGAATGAGTAATCAAAGCAAAAGGATTGCACGCTGATCAAATGCGGGTGGGGTTAAGGAGGGATCAAAGGGATTTAGAGGAGTTATGCACAAGAGCAGAGGGGGAGCAAAGGGAGCATGGAACAGAGAAAAGATAGCTGCAGGTTAAAGCTGCAGTTATATAGACATATGCAGCATGAGTTATGGCTAAATTAAATTAAATTAATTAAATTTAATGAATATTAATTAATGAATCAAATTAAATTTAATTTACATTAAATTATTGCTTAAGGAAAGAGAGAATAATTATTAATTGAATAACAAATAAGAGAGAATAATTATTAATTGAATAATTAATAATTAATAATTATTCTCTCTTTCCTTAAGCCGTAATTTAAATTCAATTTAGTTAAATTTAATTTAATTAATTAATTAATATCCGAAAATAATTTAAATTTTTGATGCCAAAAAGAAACTGCACTGCCTACGAGTGTATACAATGAAAATTAAATTTAAATTAAATTATGGCTAAAGGGAGCAGAGAATTTTATTTTCATTGTATACTTTCGTAGGCAGTTTCTTTTTGGCAGCAAATATTTATGTTTAATTGATTTTTTGATATGCAACGTGACTCGCGTCAGCACATTTTTGCCTACACCCCTACCCTTATTTTTTCACCAATATCTTCCAATAAGTTTTGAGAAAGCGCAAAAAACTCTCGATTCTCCCCAACTCCAAACGACGACTTGCAGTGACCATCTGACCTCAGCAATGCAAACTCGACTAAGCCAAAACACCCCCGACCCACTGATCCACTCATCCACTGATCCACTAATCAGATCGTTGGCTTAGCACAAATTTCGCGACCCACAAACCCCACACACACAAGTAATCCTAAGCTGGCAATTATCAAACATTTCCGGGTACGAAGAGACAGCAGGGGAATTGGCGGAGTCAGCTGTTACGCGGACAGCTGCGGGTTTAAGTAGCGGCCACTCCACGGATTAAAAGGGCAGTCCAGCAGCCAGACCAGACAACACTCAAGCAGAGCAGAGCAGTCGGTCTTCTGCTGCCAAGCTGACACCTCAAAAGAAAACAACAAAAAATAGCAAAATAGCAAAAAAATAAATAAATAAAAATAATAAAAAAAAAAATAATAATAAGAAAAATAAATAATAATAATAAAAAAATAAGTAATAAATAATAAATATTAACAAACAAAAAAATAATAATAATAAAAAATAACTAATAAATAATAAATAATAATAATAAAAAAAATAAATAAATGATAATAATAAAAAATAAATAAAAAAATAAACAATAAATAATATTAATAATAATAAAAAAATAAATAAAAATAGTAAATAATAATAGTAATAATAAAAAAATAAATAATAATAATATTAAAAATAAAAAAATATAAAATAATATCAAAATAAAAGTTTATAAAAATCCTTTTTGCCGCTCCGCAGGCTCCTACTGCTCCCTCTCCTCCCAGCGCTACAGTTCCCAGCGATCTGCAAATTTCTTGTAGCAGAATCCGGCACGGCCTGGAGCCTGCCTCAGCCTGAAATACGTACCCACAATATTTACAGATTTAGTTCTATTGAGGCACACTGAGTCGCCTCTGGGGGGGGGAACATTTGCCCCCTGAGCATTGAATGCCTGGAGATTTGTGTAAATAATTCAAACAACTCTCAAATCTACAAAGTAAATACGGCAAGCAAGCCGGCGAACATGAACGTGCGATACATCAAGAATCCCTATCCGGACTTTCCGACAGTTGGCGCCAACGGTGTGGCCTTCGCCCTGGATGAGGAGCGCATCAGGGACCTCATCTCCGCGTACGTGAAGAGCATCCTGGAGCAGTGCAAGCCCCGGACTGAGGAGCGCGGCGACTTGTATGTGGGCAATGCCGGCATTGCGTACATGTTCTGGAAGCTGCAGCGCAGCGAGCACACCCGCTCGCTGTGCCCCACCGCCTTGCAGCATGCGGCGCACTTCATCGCCAAGGCCAGGGGCAATGCCGAGCGCCTGGCCAGACGCACATCGCTGCAGAGCTACTCGTTTGTGTGCGGCACTGCCGGCATCCATGCCGTGTCCGCCGCCATCGCTGCGGCCAGCAACGAGCCCAAGCAGCTGGCCAAGGATTTGGCCAGCTTCAAGGCGGCTGCGACGGCGGCGGCGTCTCTGGCTGCGGGCAGCGGCTGCGACGAGTTGCTGGTGGGACGCGCCGGCTATCTGGCCGGCTGCTACTGGCTGAACGACATTCTGCCCGCGGACCAGAGGCCGATCCCCGACGAGGCGCTGATCGCCATTTGTCAGAGCATCTTGGCCAGCGGTCGCGCGTACAGCACGCAGAACCATTCCCCGATGCCGCTGATGTACCAGTACCATGGCACCGAGTATCTGGGCGCGGCCCATGGCCTGTGTGGCATACTGCAGATGCTGCTGGCGAGTCCCTGGTTTCGCAAGGACCAAGGCAAGGACGCCAAAGTCTCGCTGTTTGGCCTCGGCACGCCCGCGGATGTGCTGCACGATGTGAAGCGCACCGTTGACTGTTTTCTGACGCTGCAGGATGCCGAGGGCAACTTCCCCGTGGCGTTGGAGGATGGCGGCGAGCAGCGGCTGGTGCACTGGTGCCATGGTGCGCCCGGCATCGTCTATCTGCTGGCCAAGGCCTACCTGTTGTTCCAGGAGCCACGCTACCTGTTGGCCCTGCGCCGCTCCGCCGATTTTGTGTGGCGTCGCGGCGTCCTGCGCAAGGGCCCCGGCCTGTGTCACGGCGTCGCCGGCAATGGCTATGTGTTTCTGCTGCTCTTCCGTTTGACCCACGACATGATGTACCTGTACCGGGCCCACAAGTTCATGGAGCTGCTGGACAGCGACGAGTTCAGGCAGCAGGCACGCGTCCCGGACAGACCGCACAGCCTGTACGAGGGTGTGGCGGGCACGGTGTGCTTCCTGGCCGATCTACTCGAGCCGGAGCAGGCACATTTTCCCTTTATGGATGTGTTTTATTAGCAGGAAGAAGACCCCATCAACACTGCACATTATTCAGGCTTAAAGTTAGCTCTTCTACGCGCTCTTTCAGGCCTAAAGTTAGCTCTCCTACGCGCTCTTTCAGGCTCAAAGTTAGATCTCCTACGCGCCCTGCTTTATGCCTCAAAATTCCCTGAAATCTGCCACTTCAGGCAGCTCCAAAAAATACACAAAACACAGCATTAAAGGCAGTTCTGGCGGGGTGGTGGGGTGCCCATAAATTAATCAAAATTAAACAAATAAATTCGCACAATAACAAAACTTCCCCCTGATTATAATATGCCTGGAATTTTGCTTGGGAAAATTCCTGAAAATTTCTGTGGCTGCTGTCCTTGAAGCAAATTTTACTGTGAACATTGGACTCTTCACGCTGCTGTAGTTGCTTATCCCCCCATACCCACCACCCACCCCCGGAGAAACATTATTGCAAGGTAGAGCCGAGCCCTGCTGCTGCAAGTGTTAGGTGCTATGTGCGGCACAGAGTGCATTGTGTTGCCGCTTAGTGGTCGACTAATGCAGCAGCTTAGCAGCCACCCCCTACCCTACCCAGACCACTCTTAGCCAGGACTAAGGGCATGCTGAAACTCTCAAGCTGTAGCCAAAACCCTTTTTGCCTGGTGTTTCGTGTAATTAACAGGGCATTCAAAGCCGGCAACAAGCTTCCTAACACGTCTCGACTGTCTATGGCCATCTGCCTCTGCCTTTGCGTCTGCCAGTGCCACAGCCTTTGCCTCTGCCAGTGCCCCTGTCTCGCCCTTGTGGTTGCCAGGCAGAGATTTCCAATTGAAATTTGCCCAGGAAATGTTTAAATACATTTTCACTCATTTTCACATGAGGAGTCAACAAAACACCTTTACACTTTCGCCAGGGAGGGGCTACAGGAGATACACAAAGGGAGGGGCTACAGGAGACACACAAGGAGACGGGCAGAGAGACACAGAACAAGAGGGGCAGAGACACCTAAAGAGTAGAGGAGTAGAGACAGAGACACACAGCAAGCGGCAGAGGCAGAGGCACAGACAGACACAGTCTGTATCCCAGTCTGCGTTCAGTTGCAACATGCAACATGTCAATTAGTCAAAAGTTTTTTTTTTTTTTTTTTTTTTTTCTTTTTTTTTTTCCTTTTTTTTTGGTACAACGATAAAATGGCAGCAGCTGCCAAATTTAATTTTACCAATCCATGACACACCCCCACCCCCTACCCTCACCCCTGACACCCCCACCTCACCCCCTGTCTAAACCTTTTGCTTGTTGCATGAAGATTCAAAGCATTTTCATGTCACTGCAAATAGAAAAAAAAATAAATAAATATAGAAAAAGCCAAACGGAAAAACAGCAGTAAAAAAAAAAAGCCAAGTGAAAACTTTTCAACATGTGTGCTGGCGGGCAAGGCAAAAGGCAGGGGGGAAAATGTCGAAAGAAAACTCCTTAAAAGTTGTGTGCAGGCAGGCAGCAGAAGCAGCAGCAGGCAGGCAGGCAGCAGAAGCAGTGGAAAAAGGTGCCAAGTGGCATGTGGCAAGTGGCAGGTAATAATCTATGCATGTGTGTGGGTGGACAAGTAGAAGTTTGTGTGGGGTGTCTGTGTGTGTGTGTGTGGGGAAGGCTTTTGGACCCTCGGTCGACACTTGGCAGCACTTTACATTTATTGTGGCAGTGGCAAAAGGAGCGAAGTCAGAGCCAAGAAGAGGGGCAGTGGCAAAGGGAGCGAAGTCAGAGCCAAAGAGAGGAATGCATTTGAAAGTGCCCTGTCATGGAAAGCCAACACAGTTTTCCAGGGGCCTGTGGGTGGCTGTAAGCTGTCTTAGTTGCTTATTATGCAACCCTAACCCATGCCCCAGTCCCCACAACAGCTCAGCCCCCACAGCAGCCCCTTCAGCAGCAGCACAGAGTCATCGTCGCCTGAGCGTGCGGAAATGAGCAGCTGTCTTGGCCTGTCCCCACACACTCTCTCACTCTCTCCTTCTCTCTCACTCCATCTCTCTCTGCTCTGGGACTTTCTCTGCAAAAAAAAAATCAAGCCATGTTCAAGTTTAAGCCTGGCCAACAGCAGCTTCTGCGGGGCACTGAGAGACTTCGACTCACTTGCCGCTAAGTAGTCGCGCTGCAGCCGAGTCGAGTGCAATGAAATTTTAGCTGCAGCCTCCACAGCCTTTACAGCTACTAAGTCAAACCCATACACACACACACAATCACACACACACTGATGCATACAAGTGTCATAAGTGTGGAAAAGAGGAGCAGCTGCAGCAGCAATTTTTTATCATCATTTCCGGAACTCGTTGACAAACGGAAGCGACGAGCCGAAGTGCCAGAAGAGGGTAGACAGAGAGAGAGAGAGAGAGGAATGATGATTGTGGCAAGGGATGGGAGGGGCAGAGTGCACTGGCTGTTGCCAAGGGTGGTGGGGGGTGTGTGTCTGCTCTCCGCACTCTCGAAACGGATATGACCGAAATGGCATAGCCATTGCTTATAATTTTACATTTGAAAACTACACTTTGGAGCTACTTGTGCAGATGTAAGTATGTGCTTGCTTATACGACCATCGAACGATGCGATTATCCTCCAGACACTCTGCCACACAGCAGCACAGAAGGGGATACCCGATACGATGCGATACGATAAGCTACCCTTCGTGGCGCCCTTTTCAGCTGCATTTCAAATGTGTGACACAATTTGGAACTTTTTTGGGTGCTTCACAGGCGACGCAGACGGTTTGCAACTTAAAGTTGAAAGTTGCTGAAATTATAACCAAACATGATGGATTTTTTTTAAATAAAAAGATAACCCCTTTGAAGTCATGGCATGAATTTGAAACTAAGAAATTGAAAATATGACCATTGAAAATCAAGGAACAAAAACATTTTAATTTCATTCACCAAATATTTATTGTATAGAAAATCAAAAATCAGAAATCAAAAATCGAAATTATCAAAAGCATTATAGTAAATAGTAAAAATAGTAAAATAATAATAATAGTAAAAATAGTAAAAATAGTAATAATTAATTTTGTATCGCCTTGAGATCATTACCAAAAATATTTGTTGCGTGGGTAATATATAATTTGTTATTTACAGAAAAATCCTGCTTAAAATTGCAGCATAGAATTCATCGATTCTTTATCGATGACATGCATGAAATGAACATTTTTAAAGCAAATTCATGAGTGTTAGTAAATAATTGTATATTTCCTTCTAGAATACGTTTTTTTTTAATCTTTATGAATAATATGTGAACTATCTGTCAATTGATTAACTAATTTAATTATTTACATAGTTACTTAAATCTATATTATTTCTGTCAGCAAATTCCTAAAAAAAAATCCTCTCCATGTTTGTACTATAAAATATTATTATTAAATAATTAATAAAATTTAATAAATTAAATAATAATAAATATTAAATATTATTATGTATCGAAAACCTGTAAATAATAACAAATATTAAATATTATCAAGTATCGCAAAGCTGTAAGCTAAAATCTGTAGTTATTTACTTATATTATTGCTGCTAAGAAAATCTATTATCCCTGTCATTATTGGGCGACCACGTACCCCCCCAAACACATCGTTGGCGATGTGGCGAGTATTAATTTTTCATGCCCCACTGAAAGCGACTCGCAAACTAGCGATAAAAAGCAGTCATAAAACATCGATATCAATGAGCAGCACAAATACGCGAGTAGCAGCCAGCAGTAGCCAGCAGTAGCCAGCAGTAGCAGGCCAGTGGCAGGCCAGCTGTAACTCAAACCGAACCGAAAATCTCTGGCTAATTTCTGGGCAAGGCAGCGCATTCGCTTGGTCAACCATGGATGCTGTTAACACTTCTCCTTCTCCGCATCGCATTCCCCATGCCACGTTACCCTGCCCGGCCCCCGCCTCGCCCTGCCCTTAGTTCCATTTCCTTTGGCCACTTTCGGCAGTAACTGGCATTTACTGGCATATCAGCAAATCCCATACTCTACGGCCTCCAGCCTGAGACCGAGACCGGGACTGAGACCCCGCCCTGCTTGTTGGGCACGATGCGCCGTTCGACAGGATTCACTCTCTATCTGTGTGAGACGTGTGTATGTGTATGAGTATGTGTGTCTGTGAGTGTGTTTGTGTGTGTGTGTTTTTTTTTTCGCATTGACAGCAAATTCGAAATATATTTGCCCAGCATTTTGGCCGAGTGCTGTGGGCCTGGGGCCTGGCCTGGCCCACGTTTTACACCACATTTTCGAGAGCTTTCAACGCGGGGCCACGTTACCTCTTTCTCTCACACTCTTGGGCACACTCTTAGGCGCTCTCTTGCTCTTGCTCCTGTTCTGCTTCTCTCTCTCTCTCTTTCTCACATGTTTGGTTGAAGCTTGGGCGATGTTTTTACTGCTGAATGGGTAATTTAGTATTTGGCAATTAGCTTTTGCTTTCGGCTCTCACTCTCTACCTCTCCCTCTCTGCCTCTACCTCTCCCTCTCTACCTCTCCCTCTCTACCTCTCTCTTGGCATGGCTTGGCTTTCGTTTTGGTAGGTTTTTTCTTTGCCAGCTTATTTTTTGGCTCTCTTTCCACAGCCTCTCTGTCTGTGTGTCTGTGTGTCTGTCTGTCTGTCTCTTTCTTGCTGCCCGTGCACTACTCGTAGTTTTTCCATTCATTGGCACTTGCATTCTGCCGAGTCGTCGCCTGTTCCGTTGCCTTCGTTGCTTGCTTCATTTGTTTGTTTATCTGTTAAATTATGCAGTCGTCTATTAAGTGGCCGAGATTTATGTGACCAAAGCGACAGCCACACCAGCCCACCACGGGCAACCAGCAGAAAGAGGAGCAGCAAAAAGGAGCAGAAAAAAGGAGAAGCAAAGAGGAGCAGCAAAAAGGAGCAGAAAAAAGGAGCAGCACCCCTAGCAATCAGCGACTGAGAAGCCATTTTTACTCCTTTAATTTGTTCTGCCCCTTCAATAGGGTATACAAAAAAAGAGTATCTAAAAGTGTATGCCAAGCCCGTGTGCTGCGTTTTTTTTTTTTTGGTTTTCATTTTCCTTCTCTTAGTTATTCATTTGGCTTATTCATAATTATTGTAATAAAACACACATAAATTGTGTGGCCCATTTAAATGACTCTACATATTGTTCTGCCATAAGTATTCACAACTATATGTTCGTTTATGCTTGGGTTATGCTCCTCTATATATGGGGGACAATATATAAAATTTGTTTTCCACTTTTTTT